GACTAGAAGGATTCACTGCTGGGTAACTGTGAAGAGCTTTGAATGTGTAAAGATAAAACGTAAGTGCTAAACATTTATTATTTAATTATTTCTCTTCCGCCTTCTCATGCAGAATATGCTGTTTCTCCATAATGTTTTGTGACACTTCTTGTAAAGAGGACAGTGATCACTTGTTCTCCTGCTCACCAAAGGTATGATGAGAAATAATTGTCTTAGTAGCAGGAGAGGTTTCAGTTGGGTAGTTGTGGAAGCTTTCTAATTTACATGGTTAATTAAGCACTAGGACAATTTACTTGGAAGTTATGGAATCCCCAGCCTGGGTGATCTTTCAAAAGAAGGTTCCAGTGGTTCTCAAATTGGAGGTCTTAAGCTTTCAGCCTCCATCACAAACCCACTTTGCTTCCAGCATTTATAATAGCGTTAATTTTTAAGAGTTTTTAACTTCTAGACGGAGTCTCACTCGGAGGCTTGCGAAGTGAGGGGTCTCCACTACAAAAGCTTGAGAACGACTGGGTTAGACACACACTGATTGGGGATGCATCAAGGAATGCACCCTTAACTCTGCCTTAGCACAGATGGCTGGACTAGATGACCTCTTGAACTCCCTTCCCGCTTTACATTTCTATAGTTTGTTCACAGGCAATTCTCTTGAGCGGGTATCCAATACCCTGAAGAATGCCTGTAGGAAGGTATGTGGGTCTGCCTCATTCCTGTACACCCAGTCCAATCTTTCCCAAGATCGTACACTGATGACAAGGCCTACAGAAGTACGCTGAGAGGCAAAGCAGACACAGAAATCCACCCTGTTCAGGGTGTGATGTTGAAAGCCGCGTCTGAAGTGCAGCATTTTTAGCAAGGAACTAGTCTACTTGTGTCTGTAGCGATGGGTATTCCACTTCTAGTTGTGTCACTTTGCCCACAATTCCTGGTGATCTGCCTGGAGTTGGGTAACCCACTCTTTAGGCAGCCCTCCTAGGGGGACAGAGAGGTCCAGTTGATCTATTCCTACTTTTGGGGAGATGGGAAGGGTTGTACGAATTGTCTAGGTTTATTGGAGAGGGGCATCAGTGACCAAGGCAGAGCCACAGGCAATTGGCATATGTCTGAAGTCAAGTGCCATGTATCCGAGCCAAAAGTTGGAGCTGGGGTCAGATAGGAAACAGGAGCCAAAGTCAAGGGCCAATGTGTGGAGTTGGAAGCCAAAGAGCTGGAGCCTGAGGTTGGCGCCAGAGCAGTTGGAAGCCAAGGAACAGGGCTCATTGACCTGGGAATGGGGCTGAGGGCAGGAGCAGGAGCAAGGTCCAAGTTAGGAACTGGGGATGAAGTAGCAAATCAGGTTATGGTTGGTGGAATCTGTAGCAGCAACAAGCCACGATCCAACTTCCTGCACAGACAACTTCCTGTCTTTCTGGTTTATGCAATCAGGGACTCTGAAGATTTTTTAGTCAAGTCCCTGTGGGCAGTATTGTTAGTGTAGCAAAAGGCCTCAAGACTCCTAGGTAATAGTGTGAAGGCAACAATGGCTGACAAAGTGGGTCTCAGGTCCTACAGACCCTCCCGGTTCTCTGCAAACTGCCTTTGTTCTCTTCATCTTTTCCCCTGCTCCTGAATCATTCCTTTAACTGGACAGCCAAGGAGATATAGCAAGCACCTTGCAATGCCAGCAGATGCAGGGCTGTGTGTTCTGCTGCAGTAGAACCTATCCAGAGCCAGGTGGAAGTGAGAGACAATCTCCAATATGGTGCTGGAGTGTGTCCCATCCTCTAAACTGCTCCACTCCTTGTATATTGCCCTCTTCTGCTGTAGGGCAAAGCTTAACCTTGAGCCTGAAAAATCTGACACAAGGCAGTGAACAGTGTCAGGCAGGTGCCCTGGGGTGCCAAATGCCTGCCCACACCACCAGCCTATATTACTTGTTGGTAACTGCAGGTATATGGTAATCTGAATATTTCATTCCCTGACCATGTCTAATTATGGGGGGTGGGGGGAGGGGGAGGGCAAATCAAGTGATCTTGAAGGCTGTTAAGCACTTGAACATTTTTCAATCAACAGCGAAAATTGCATTATTGACTCAGGTTGGGTGGTGTGTGTGTGTGTGTGTGTGTGTGTGTGTGTGTGTGTGTGTGTGAAGAAAGAACTGAATATGTAACTAAATGATAGGAAGGATGTGAGTTTTGAGGATGTGTGCATAGCAAGGAGAGGTAGAGGATGGTAGGAAGGGTATAATTTAAGGGAACAAAATGAAATTAAGGGGAAAATTAGACTATCAAGGCAGAACATTACAGTGAAGGAGGGGTGTTCTAGGCTGTGGACATTTATAACAAGGCTGGACAAAACGCTAAAAAATACACTATTGGGAATAATCCTGCAGTAGCTGAAACTAGACTAGGCCATCTCATCGGGCTTTTCTTTCACTGAGATCTATGCCCGGGGGGGGAGGGGGGTTGAATACTGTAGCAGTTTTTAAAATGTTTGTTTGACTTTCTGATTTATATGATGTGCCTCTCCCATTGCTCTGGGCACACAAACAATAGAAATTGTGTTTAACGTTAACCAAAACATGCAACTTCGGCCTGCATACGGTACTGTACATGTGGTAGCAGCTGGTACAGAATGCCTTTGGGACTGTTTACTCAGTTGGAAACCTCAAGGTATTACAGGGAAAGGAGGTTTTTTTAGCAAAGTTAACGGAAGAGACTCTTCCCTAGTACTAATCTAACAGTTATTTCAAACCTAGCATACGCAGGGCCCATCTGATAGGCAAGCAATTTCTGGAAAATTCCCATTCACACAGAGTCAGAGAGAACCATTCTCAGACCAACCAGCTTGGAAAGAATAACAATTTTCCATGTGTTTTAAACAAGCTGTTATAGACAGAACTCTCAGAGCTTCTGAAACAGCTGTGAGGGCCACATCATCTTCCATGGTTTGAGAACTCTCAGTATCCCCCGCGGTTTGTGAATGGCAGACCGGCAACATTTTATTTGTATATTCATTATGCAAATAAGGAATATGCAAATAAAATGTTACTGTTTCGCCTAGCTCCAACCCAGCCCTTTGTCCTTTTAACCTCTGACTCCTTATAGCCCATGCCAACACCATCTTGCCCCATGACTCCACCAAGCCCTCATCCACCCCTTTACCCCCGCCCCCACACTCCCCAGAGTGAGGCTGCCCCTCTAGGGACCATGGCCTTTACTGGTGCACGGGCAGGGAAGCAGCCGTCGGTGGAATGCACGCTTCTTCCCCAAGTGCATCTCGCGCTCCCATAGGTAGAGGCAGGGGGGGGGGGGCGGAGCCCTGGCTGGGCTGCCACCTTACTTGGGCTGCAACTCCTGCTCCACCACCTCCTGCTGCTGCCTCAACCCTAGCACCACCACCGGGCAAAATCGGCTCCGCAGGCAGGGAGAGTGGCTGTTGGCGGTGCGTGCGTTCCCTCTTCCTTTGCACCCCTTCCCTCCCTAAGTGTGTCTCATGCCTCCATGGGTAAATGCAGGGGGGGGAGCAGAGCCCTAGCTGGGGGCAGGTGGCACTGTGGAGCTCATGCTGGGGGGAACTGGTGCAGCTTTTATGTCGACTCCCCCTACCACCGGCTCTGTAGGAGGCAGCTAGGGGAGACAAAGGCAGGTCTGGGGAGCTGGCTTGAAAACTGGCTTCCCATGCGTATTCGCTCCAGCCTGTCTCCCTCACCCTATGTGCTGCTGCCTCTCTATCAGAGGCAGCATCACGGGAGTGGTGCGAGGAGAGGAGGTTCCAGTGCTCATGGGTTGCTTGCTTAAAGACAGCTCCTCACGGGCACCAGGTCCTGTCCCCCCAGCAGCCCCACAACCTCGCTGCTTCTGTACTGGAGGCAGCAAGGTGGGGAGGAGTGCATGTAGTTGACAAGATTAACCAGTAAGCCTAGGCTTATCAGTTAATTGTGTAGTCGACTACACGTTGACATCCCTAGTAGGAACACCAAAGCAGTCTGGTGGCTGTCTACCACCTGTGTTTTAACACCCAGCACATTCTTAGACAGGTTTATGGGTAGACACCTTTTAAAATGATTCCCTAATCCCGACTCCTTCAGAGAACTTGCAGCCGACATAGATATTTCAGGATAAGTATTGTATGTAGGTTGAAACTTAGCTATCCAACAGAAGCTAAAGCAATTAATGTTAATGGTATTCATTATATAACATAATTCATTCCAAGAAACAGACTGCTAAAGAGGACACAAATAGCAGCTGTTAATTTCAGAGCCTTTGAAGATTAACCACAAGAGGAAAAGAGAATCTGTGACACCAAGTTCTGATTCCCCAGACTCGAGTTGTGAGGGTGTGTTGAACATAGTATCCCTTGCTGTGGGCTTTACTACTGTTTGAAGCAGGGGTCGGAAACGTACGGCTGGTAAGAGGGTTAAATCTTGGCACGCCACTTCAGAAAGGTTGTAGACCCCTGGTTTAAAGCCTCTGAGTGATCTGTTTTGGGAAGCCATTTTGGAGAGGCTTTTATGGTCCTTTGTTACTTGTGTTTCAATTGTTCTCTCATTCATGGTGTTACTTGTATTGCACTGCCCCTTCTGTTGCTGTCCTGGCACTACGATTTCTTGATGTTCCTCTCAACTTGAAACAGTGGAGCAGATTTTCAAAAGTGTTAGGTCCACAATTTATCTTATCTCTTCTCATAATTGCACAGGTGTGCATACTAATTGAGCCAGTGCACCCAGAGTTTGGCTGTGTAGTGTCCATGTGTGTGCATGCACGTGTTCTGTTGGATTTGCATATTCGAACTAGGCTAGCAGTTAGATTTGTATTTGGAATGCCCAACGGGGTATCTAGCTTGTTTGAACATCAGGCCCATTATGAGCAAAAGTGAGAACTACAGGAATGGGTGTGACAAAATATGAAAAGAATGAATGCAGGGTGACTTCTGGATTCCTTGAAAGGCCTTGCCTTGGTTCTATTTGATTGTTATTCTGCAATATTGCCATGTGTGCTCAGAATGACAGCTGACTGCCTTTGTTATTTCTGTTGTTTTTAGAAGGAGATGGGCGGAGACTCAAAGGTGCTATCCAGCGGAGCACAGAAACTGGTCTGGCTGTCGAAATGCCAAGTCGGACAGTCCGTCAAGCCAGCCATGAATCCATTGAGGACAGTATGAATAGCTATGGATCGGAAGGAAAGTAAGTCAGCTGGATATCTACTTTTTGGATGTTCAATCTCCCTACACCTATTTCTTCTCCTTGCATGATACATTTGTCTGACTTACACATGTTGTCAGTGCACTGCCAGGTTCCTCTAAGAGTCAGAACAGAGCAGTTATTTCCCTGCAAGATTTGCAAATAGTTTTACTGTTTTATATTCTTCAATTCAGATTCATGAGCGTATCAGAAGGATATCTGAAACAAAATACAGGACAAACAAGATGGTTTATTAGATGATGAGCTTTTGTGGGCCAGACCCACTTCCTCAGATCAAATAGTAGAAGAAAATTGTCACAACCATATATACCAAAGGATACAGTTTTAAAAAATGAACACATATGAAAAGGACAAATCAAATATCTGTTTGATTTCTGTTACTCATTACTGACTTGCCTTTAAAAGAGAACTCTTTGGGGGTGGTAATCGTAAAAAAGATTACGAGTATTGATGTTTATAATGTGTTCCATTTCTGTTGTCTGTCTTCTCCCACAAAATCCCTGGGGAAGGGGAAATGGTTGCATCAAGGGATGGAAGGAATATATCTGTCAAGATAATCTCTAGTAAATAATTAAATACATGTTACACTCCTTAGAGTTTTAACCTTTTGGTGTCAGACTTTTATCATATTTGGGCAATATGGTTGGAAAGCTTTCTGGGTCCGCAGAACAGTGATATGTTGGATTTGGGCCTTGCGGTTCTTTGACATGACAATTCTCAAAGCATAGATAACACAGGCAGGAAGAAATTTGGGGGTGATAAATTGCTTGAAATTCTGATTTTGTTTTTGTGAAATTTGAGGCAGCGTGTGGAGGTGAGATCACTTTCTATCTGAGGGAATCTTTTTGGGAAAACTCTTTGGCAGGAAGAAGGGGGCTGTGTTACATCAGACTCTGTGCATGTGGATGTAAGAGCAGTAACTGATTTGACAGGTTTACAGTGTGTAACTAAACCCAGTTTGTTCCATTTTAGATATGCTACTGAAGTCTGGATTACTATCAAGTAATAACTACCAACTATGGCTTCTGTCTGTCCTATATGTCCATCCATTCATGGCATTCCTAATGAACTCATCCCCGTACAACCCAGGTGGCTGTGTAGACCTAAGATTTCTCTACTTTTCTCATCACATAGTTTTAACTGTTTGTTTTAATTATTTTAAGGCAAAACCAAACTTTCCTTTGACATATCAACAAGAACAACAGTGGAAATGCTACACAGATCTGCATCCAGGGCAGAAATAATAATTAGGAGCTGTCTCGGAGGAAACAAATCATGTCATTCCTAAGCTGTGGTGTAGCTTATCTCCTCTGTCTGAGGATTTGCCTTCAGGAAAAGATCCTGCTCTACTCGCACAGTCCTGCCACTGCTCTGAGTTCTGCTTCACTCCAAAATTCAGAGGATTAGAGATTAAGCCCTGTCCCTTGGCAGTGCAGGCTGAGAATCTGTTTTCCCTGCAGGGCAGGATTCTTTCTTTTCCATGTATGCAGTTCAGTCTCTCGGGAAAGCTGTACAATCCTTTGGGGACAGCCGTGCAGTGTCACGGCATAGTTACAAAGCCATGGCCAGGCATAGGTAGAGAAACAAACCTCTTCCAACAAAAATATTGCACCTCAGTAAGAGCCATTGTGCTATGGTATGCTGCACTTGCAAAGGTAATAACACATAACTATAAGTTTGGCATCGAAAAATAAATCCTCTCGTGCATCCCCCATGTGTGTGTTAAGGTTGTTACAGAATTCCTGTTATAACCACTATTTTCCAAATAAGAAGCTGGAATGTTATGGAGGGCTCTGCCAGGCATAGGACAGCCCTCCCCATATGCCTGAAAACGGTGATAAATGTTTGTTGTATTCTTTTTTTCTCAGCTCAGTTATTTGAACTCCTTTAGAATCCCCTAAGGTATCAGCAATTATCTATCAGAAGCACAAGTGCCTAGCAAACAGGTTTGAGAGCATGAAGAGCCATAGGGCTGTATGCACTAGAAACATGTGGGGATGCTGAAATTTTTTTTTTTGAAGTGATTTTTGTTCTTATCAAAGGAGGAGAAGCATTTGGGGAGTTGTTTTGAAAAACGGAAATCTAGACTTTGTTAAACCAAATCCATTTTTGCTTTTCTTGCAGCCCTCCTAACACAATTACAGCAGGAGAAAAGGAGATTCATGTGACCACATTATTACTGGCAGGGGTTTTTTTTTTTTTTTTTTTTTTTTTTAAGTGCTTGGTTTCTTACTGCTACAGACATAATGAGGACAGGAATAATCTTAGCCTAAGGCTTTTAACAAACCAATTTTTTTTAACAAGATAAGATTGCACCAATATTTCAAGCCCTACATCAATATATCCAGGAGAGAGCCTGGGCTTCAGGTTCATTCTCCAGAAGTGCTTGCTTTGGAAACAGAGTATATTTTCTATAGTCCTCTTTGAGAGGAAGACCTCCTGGAAGATCTCTAATGACAGCCCAGTAATCCTAAGCCCCTTTCAGCCTTCAGGTGAAGCTCAGGAGTTTTCTTTTTCCTGAAGGAGATAACAGAATCTCTGCTCCTAGTAATGAGTTGTACACACTTTAAAAAAAAAATGGAGACTGATTAACGTGCTCATTTCACATATACTGAATTAACTGGGTATGTGACGAACAAGACTTGTACCCATCTAATCTCAGACCCAGTAGAATTACAATGGTGAAATATTCCTTTATGCAAAAGTCTGAATGACCTAGTTTATAGGGGGGATTAAGTGTGAACATCAGTGTGTGTGTGAAATCCAGAGGATGTCCATTTAAAGTTATTGAAGAATATGGTTATAAAAATCATACTCATAGAACTGGAAGGGACCTTGAGAGGGTCATGAAGTCCAGTCCCCTGCATTCACAGAAGGACCAAGCACCATAGATCATACCTGACAGATGTTTGTCTAACCTGCTCTTCAAAATCTCTAATGATGGAGATCCCATAACCTCCCTAGGCAACTTATTCCAGTGTTTAACCACTGGAATTTTTTCCTAATGTGCAACCTAACCCTCATATGTTGCAATTTAAGCGCATTGTTTCTTGTCCTATCACCAGAGGTTAAGGAGAATAATTTTTCTCCCTTTTTCTTGTAACAGCCTTTTAGGTACTTGAAAGCTGTTATATTGTCTTCTTTCAATTTTCTCAATCTTCCCTCCTAGTTTGTGTTTTCTAGACCTTTAATCATTTTTCTTGCTCATCTCTGGACCGTCTCCAGTTTCACCACATCTTTCCTGAAATATGGTGCCCAAACTGGATATAATAATCCAGTTGAGGCCTAATCAGTGCAGAGTAGATTTGAAGGTTTCTTGTGCCTTGCTCAGAACACTCCTGTTAATGCATTCCAGAATGATGTTTGCTGTTTTTGCAACAGCATCACACTGCTGACTCTCATTCAGCTTGTGGTCCACTATAACCCCTAGATCCCTTTCTGCCGTACTCCTTCCTAGACAGTCGCTTCCCATTTTGCGTATGTACAACTGATTGTTCCTTCCTAAGATGAATACTTTGCATTTGTCCTTATCGAATTTTATCCTATTTATCTCAGACCATTTCTCCACTTTGTCCAGATCAGTTTGAATTATGACCCTATCCTCCAAAGCACTTGCAGCCCTCCTAGCTTGCTATCTTCTGTGCATTTTATAAGTGTATTCTCTATGCCAATATATAAATCGTTAATGAAGATATTGAACAGAACTGGTCTCAAAATTGATCTCTGCAGAACCCCACTTGTTATGCCCTTCCAGCATGACTGTGAACCATTAATAACTACTCTCTGATAATGGTTGTCTACCCAATTATGCACCCACCTTATAGTAGCCTCATGTTGTATTTGTCTAGCTTATTGATAAGGTGGTCATGAGAGACTGTATATCATGCTTTTACTAAAGTTCAGAATTAGGTTATGTTAAAACATTGTTACATCTAAGAGCAAGAGGTGCTTGCCCAGAACCTCTGTAATGTTAGCATGGCACTCTTGGTTGCTTTGAAAAACCTCACTTCAGTCTTTTTATAGCAATGTAGCTGTGCAGTTGCCAATAAGCACCTGGAAATAACTTGAAAAATAAATTTTAAAAAATAGGTATTTGGAAACCTATCTGAAAGGACAGTTACCTCTTTTGGTACGTGCCCGGCATACAGTGTCATGAGGAAACAGATCAGAATTTGGCTTCTCTATGGAGTTTACAAATAAACATCTGATAGTTTAACAAGGAGCAAAGAAACTCTGATTTGAACCTGGTCCCTCCATGCCTTATCTTCTCCTTGAGCTCTCTTATGCCAGAGTTTTGCTCCATCTGAACAAAATAAGGCTATACAACATATAGGAGGCAAATGGGGACTGTTGCATAACTTCCTGCTGGCCATTTATCTTGAAAATGTTGCATGAGGACACGCAGCCCTGGAACAGCTGATTGCTTCCTGCAACCTAATCATCCCAGTGGTAGTTAGCAAAAAAAACAAGGGGACCTACAAAGCACCACACATTATAGACTCTAGCCACAGCAAAGGTGATTTTTCTCATCTTGTAGGAGCTCAGCATGTGGTGATTCGTGAAGGCTCAGAGGAGTGACTGTGTAATATGTGAGGAAATTAGCAAGATGTGCAGCAAGGGCACCTTGTCATTTGCCATGTCTTCTCTTTATTGTTGCAACTTGGTTCGGTGATGTGATGGGAGCCCCCAGGGGTTAAAGCCGACTACCCAGTGAAAACTACTGGATGATGGTGAAACAAATGATTTTTTTATTAAACAGAATGGTTCTCTTATCAAAAATCAAGTGACTTTTAAATGAATTTTAAAACAAGCAATTGCCTAGTGCTTTTACACGAGGGGAAAACTGCACTTAACTGATTACAAACTTTGTGATTATAATTTGATTATATTAAATCACTATCTCTAATTTGCTTAAGGCAATGCAGCATGCAAGCAAAAAATACAAAAACAAAGCCAATATAATGATGATAAAAACTCCGTCC